AAGGAAATCAGTATATCTGATCACGTTGAGGCATATATCCAGTCGATAGTGCTCAAGAAAACGCTCAAAAACATCTTATTCGATCGGCACCGTGGATTCGACGAGGACGAAACAGCGGAGATCAGCACAGCAGAACTGAGCATGGGGCTAGTGCAGCGAGAATGCCGGAATACGACCCAGCGCCAGAATCAATAATGAAGAAAAAAAAATAACCTCCGTGTTATAATGATTTTGATTTATAATCGTTGTTAATTATCACTACTTCAGTCGTCTTGGACGCCATCATTTCATAAAAATTATGAGTTCACTCTAATAATCTCGATGTCTAGCTGTTAGCGTTAAATTAACCATCAGCTGCCACAGTGATAACTAGAAATTTGCCAGATTTATGACTTATTAATTGCTTATAACTGCTTAAGATTTTTAAAGTTCCACATATTCATCACTACTATGCTATGATCTTTTTTGAAAAAGTTAGTCTCAAAATTAATTTGAATTTTATTACTTCATATTAATAGTAAACTGCTCAAATTTGACTGTGAAGAGATACTTCACAAGCTTTAAGTTAATTAATTAAATAACACTAAAATAGTTGCAACCTGTTCAAAAGATTGAATATAAAATTTACTGAAATAATGATTTTCTTTTTGCTTTTTATACTAATAATTTGATGCTAATATAATAAAGAAATACGTTCAATGATGGAGCTTTGTCAGCAGACATATTTAAACAGAATATTATTTTTCATGCAACAAGTTTTACATTGAATAATATCATTTAAGATGCTGATGAAAGATATTTCATACTGAATCTTTCTCTGAGAATGACTCTCATATACCACTTAGTTCTGAATACAAGACTGGATTGAAGAAAAAAATTTGAAAAATTATAAGATTTATTGAAAACATTGTTTGATGTATGGATTGTATGATTCGTAAAAAGATATAACTGGATCTAGATAAGAATTTTAGAAATTTTTACTGAATTTAATTACTATGACAAGGTTAAAAAAGCATATACTTAATCAGTAATGACTATCACACCAAAAATGTTAATTCACAACGCTTAGCATCTGCTGAAGGGAATAGAAGTGATTGATATATTTAGCGTCATTTGAAGAAGAGTTTTTTTCAAAAAATTTTCTTTACTTTATTCGTGTATGCATATTTTACCAAACACTGTCATACTCAAATGATGGTGAAGGTAAACAATTCATCAAGATTTGCTTGAAAATTAATTATGTTTAGAGACCTTTTTTCCTTTGTTTTTATTGTAATTTTCACAGTTTTGTAACACTAAAAAAGAATACTCTTTCACTTGAGTGACATTAATATAATTAGTAGAGAAAACGTTACGTTATAGTAAAATAAATAACCAAATATTTGATTCTCAATTCCTTGAAGTAATTATAATAATTAGTGCTTACAAAATTTTAAATCAAAAACTGAACAACAAAAATTAAAAACGACTAACCAACTATTTGGTTTGAATTTACATTTTAGATGATTTTTTCGTGAAAACTATGCAAATTGACCACGTCAACAATTATTTTAAATGAAAATTAAAATAAAAAACTTTCCATTAATTATTTGTACTTTGACTTATTTCAGGATAAAAAATATTGTTGAGTCAGTTGTGGTGATTTAGTTACCTTCTATCTGTTGAGTGTTTTATTTATTTATTCATCTATGTTTCGTTAGTTTTATCCAACTTTTTACCATCACTGAATGATTTAAATGCAAATAGAAACAAAAAGATCGCAAAACGAAAAGTAGAAAGTTGATTTAAGACTAAAAGTTCAACCAATACCTTCACACGAATTTTTTAAATGAAGTAACACAAAGGATAATTTTGAATTAGGTGTTTAGTTTCAGTTACTTTCATATTGTAATGAATAAAATTTATTGTTACAAATTACTTTGTGTTGTAATAAAGTTTATGGTAATCCATTGCTTTGAGCATGAAATGAATGCGCAAAAAAAATGAGATTCACAATTCCTAGTCCAAACCATTTGGAACATATATGAGTTTACCTCGATAAATTAAATAAAAATTTACAGACATAAGCAAAATTCGCTAGAAGAGCAAGCAAAAAACATTGTTTTGAAAACTAACAGAGAATTACTAAAGTGATCAAGAACGAAATTACTCATTCAAGGAGAAAATCAAGCTAGTTATGTATATACATTATATTGCTTCGCTTAATCATTTTTGATTGTGATGAATTATTAAGTGGTACATTTTAAAGAATAGCATGCAATTGCGTTTTTCGAAATGATGCTGAAAAATATAATTATCTTTAAAAAAAATGAATATCCCCTCTAACACGCTTAAAAGAAATCTATTTGAAAAAATAATTTTTAACTCATTAAAATCTAATCACGCTCCTTGAGTTAAACTTTGAAAAAATTAGTTTTGATAATCCTGAAAAAACGAAGAAAAAAAAGCGTCATCTGATCAAAGCATATTTTTTAAATCATTTGCGTTAATATAGCATTTCTATGAAGTTTTAAATTAGAAAAAATAACAAACGTGACTGAACGCTACTGACTTTCACTTGCATGTTTCTGCAAGGAAAATTCTGAAGTGAACTAGTTGCTGGAGTTAATTATAATAAAAACGAAAACGATTGAAATTATTCTTACTAGTGTTTTTGGATCGTCTATTCAGTAGAAAGAAAAAACTAGAAAAAAATGCGGTAGAAATAGAGGAATGAAATCAGCACACGAAAGTGAATGAATGACCGAGAAAAACAAAATATGAATTCTTAATTAGTTTACCAGGTGATACTGATAAGAATTATAATAATAATAATAATAATTATTATTATTATTATCATTATTATTACTGCTACTATTAATAATAATGATAATAATATAATTCTATTTTGTTTTTCTATTATTATTATATTATAATTCTATAATATTAATAAATTTAAATTTAAAATGTGGAGAGCAGTTTTCGTTTTCGCTTTATTGGTTCTGGCGCTGGATCGCATTCCTGCATTTTAGCAGTACTTGTCGTGCACTCAGATTTGTTGTACTTATCGTTCTCGCTTCGTGGAATCCATATCGACTGTCGAAGGAGATGCTTTCGAGCGTCTTCTTGAGAACTATCGATTGGATCTATGCCTCAACCTGGTCTGATATACTAATCTCCTTTGCATAGCGTTTGTGGAAATTCGTTACAATCCCATCCCAAGTCATCACACACGGAATTATTATTAATAATAATAATAATAATATCAGTAATAGTAATAAATAATAATAATAATAATCGTAATAATAATTTTTATTATTAAAAATAATAATTAATAATAATAATTGTAATAATAATGAATATTATTATCATTAAATAATTATCATGATATTATTATTATGAATAATAGTAGGACTCCACTACTTACCATCAATTTTTACTATCAAATTCAAGAGAGAAATGAAAAGTCAAATGAATTTTACAGACTTTCTTCCTATCCGAAAGGAAATATTTTTTCAAACAAATACTCGGCAGTGATAGATAGTTATTGGATTAAGTTTTAAGGTGTGAAATTTCAGAGTTAGAAACTGAAATTTATGGAGATAAATAATAAAATTTTCTAATGAGATCAATATTTTCTTGGTATGCAGAGGGGATTGTGACCTATCATGGTGAGACTTTCAAGAAGCACGATTAATTACGGGCAGATTTGATCACGAATATCCATCATTCATTGTACTAGGCGGTTAAGATGTATTTGACAAAAAGTTCATCTTCTTTTTCCCTTCATCTGTTTGTTTTTGATCAGTAATCGAAATGAAAAAAAGTCCTACCTAATTAATTAGTCCTTGGTGTATTTACTTACCCACCTAAGAGGTTCGCATTGCACAAAAGGCTAAAATGACTATGATTTGATGAAATCACGCTAAAAAAACTTTCCTCACACATACTTTTATTTAAATTGAAAGTGAAAATCAAAGGACGAGATAATCTGAAAGAGAATATGGCTTTAGAGCATGATAATTGTCAATAGTGATTGATTGCATGCATAATAAATAGCAGAAGCACACTGCATTACCTAAATTCTTAATAATAAATTCGTACTAGGGCTTAGGAATTCGAGCACTCATCATGAATTTGAAGAGCTACCTAAACGTTTACAAGAAGTTTTGTAGTCAAGCAAATTTCTTTCGCACATTTGGCACCAAATAATGCCCTGTAACTTAATGGGGAGTCACTTTCAAGCTAAGTTTTCATATCTAAAAAATGGTGGAAAGATTTTTGTTAATTTATGCAAGAATCTCTAGCAGTTTTCATTATTTATCTAGTTCTGATAAATGGAATTTTTGATCACTACTGAAGAAAGTACCGATTATGATTTATTTTCAGTATTTTTTATTTCATGAATAAAAAAAAGAGTTCTATTAATACACAAGCACTTGGAAGAACCTATGTGTTACCTCCAAATTTTCATATATTTTAAACTCGAGGGTTTTCTTGCACATAAAATTACAGTAAAATATTTAGAATTGTTCTGCTCAAATGATGAAAAGGAAAGAATTATTATCAAGAAGAAATTTTTTTTTGATTCAAAACAGCGATAAAATAATGCATCAGTCAAAAGTAATTTTCTCAAATTATTCGCACAGCACTCAAAAACTTAACTGTGAAAAAGTTGTCTCTCTCATTTAAACCTAAATGAAAGTTACTGATGTTTTACTTCAGTTTATTTTTAAGCTTGAAAACTACAAGTTGAACTGAAATATGAGACTACCAAGATATCACATTAATAATGGTAATAATGGGTATGATAATTTCAGTATTGATAATAAAAATGGTTGATTAAAAAGCCTCGTCCCTGCTGTTAATGATTTTTTGAATGCTAGCGATATTTTGATCAGCAACAAAATAAACGAAAAATATTACTTACAGCAATATTAATAAAGAAATGATTTGCCAAACTCATATGACTTACCATTATTGTACGAAAACTTTTTGGAAAAACATTTGATTTTGTAAATCAAGCTAAAACCATGTTTGAATGTAAAATTTGATTGATTCAAGTCTCAAAGTTAATTTTTTGTATCAGATTAATTATCATGTACATTCACACAATCAGAATTAAGGGAAAATAATTTGAAAGAGTATTAGACAAATGTTGCTATAGATAATATTCCGAAGAATTTTATAAGAGAAATAACGAATGTGATGACGAAAATGATCATGACAGTGTAATATCAATAATAATTTAATAGTGTTAATTACGACTAACCCATTGTTTTTCATTTTAAGTTCTGTCAGAAAAAAATTTCTCGGAAATTTTTTGTATCTTCTCTTTATCACTAGTTTTTTTGCGGTGAATGTATTAATGAGGAAAAACCCGAATAGATCTGACCTAAATCCGATACAGGTTTATTTTGTTTCTTGTTTATCAAAACAATGTTATAATTTCCTACCTATCTACTATCTATCTACTTATTTATCCACCACTCTAACTATCTACCTACTTATCTATTTACCTGCATCCTCATTCACCTGCCTTACTTACTACAATGATCCAAAGTGATCATTTTTGGTTGTTTAAAAAATAAATAATAATCCTTTTCCTTCCTTAATTTTGTCTTCCCTGAAAATCATTAATTAATTTCAGTTTCTCTGAAAGAACAGAAAAAGTACCGAATGAAATTGAAAGATAAAAAAGACGATAGATAGGTCATCCAGGTGATAACAAAAGGTAAAAATCTTGTCCATGATGGCTGAATGACCGAAATGTCAAATGTCATCCATATGTGGAAAAGCAGAACAGGCATGCAGACGTGACGGGATCCTCGTTTTCCAAAATAATATAAAAGGCTGGTATTTTCATCAGTACGATGTGTAGGTGCTGTGCCTTCAACAACAGTTTTCAACACTTCTGATATCGCGCAATCTGAAACTTTACTACTAAGAGAACTTCATCCCTTGTCAAGCAATGTTTCTTCTATACCTCACTTCATTCTACGCTATTCTTCTCACATTTGCATATGCAATCCCTGTTGATAACGGAGTCGAAGGTAAGGTGTGACCGAACACTTTTTGAAAAAACTGATCAAACATGGTGACAGTCAATATGAATATTAAGTTTATGAATTTCTTGATCAGTACTAGCAGTATCAAAAATATTTTAATCCCTTATTATTCATGGAAATCATGTTTTTATTTCAGATAATAGAATTTTGCAAATTTGATCCAATTTACATATTTTCACTTTTAAAGTATCAAACAAGCAACTTTCTTCTCACTTACTACCAAAAATTATCATAATTTATTATTGATCTATATATCTACTTAGAGATAATATTTGTCTGAAAGACTTAGATGTATTAAAAAAGTTAAGATTACTTTTTTACTCAGTATAGTAATTACAAATAATTTTTTTTTATGAAGCTGTATTTTCAAATTACTAAAAAACTTCAACCATGACATTCTGAGTTGGTACATCTTCTTTATTTTTGTATGCATATTATTTTGTTTGCAATTTTAGGTGAACCAGAAATCGAATGTGGACCGACATCGATAACTGTAAACTTTAATACTCGTAACTCATTTGAGGGACACGTTTATGTAAAGGGTCTTTATGATCAAGAAGATTGTCGAAACGATGAAGGTGGACGACAAGTTGCCGGCATTTCACTTCCGTTTGATTCATGTAATGTTGCTCGTACACGTTCTCTAAATCCACGTGGTATGTCATTGCTTACAAAAGCTTTTCTGCTTGTTAAATTAGCAATAATTTTACAAATTTATGCCAATCAAATTTAAATTTCATCATCAATAAAAGGAATAAGAAATAGGAATTTATTAATTTCTGGTAGTGAAAGAATAAAATTTGATTTCATTTTATTTCTTAGTTGAGCATAATTTAAGATGCAAACTTGAAATATTTTAATAGGTATCTTTGTTACAACTACCGTTGTCATTTCTTTCCATCCACTGTTCATCACAAAAGTTGATCGAGCATATAGAGTTCAATGCTTTTACATGGAAGCCGACAAAACAGTTAGCACCCAAATTGAAGTATCTGAGATCACTACCGCTTTCCAGACTCAAATTGTACCAATGCCTGTTTGCCGATATGAAGTATACTTTTGCTAATTTTCCATTAAACTTTTATGAAACCAGTAAATTTTGTGACAGAAAATGAAACAGAGATTTAATTGAAAAAAAATAGTGAATCTTAAAAGAAACTGCAAAACTTACAGCAAAATTAGATTAGTTATAATTCTGCAAAACACTTGAACAGAAGTTTACTCAACCAACTAGCTTAGATTTTGGATGGAGGACCAACGGGACAGCCAATTCAGTTTGCTACCATTGGTCAACCAGTCTACCATAAATGGACATGTGATTCTGAAACCGTTGACACCTTCTGTGCTGTTGTGCACTCTTGTTTCGTTGATGATGGCAATGGTGATACAGTAGAAATTTTAAATGCCGATGGTTGCGCTCTCGACAAATATTTGTTAAATAACCTTGAATATCCAACAGGCAAGCAAAACAAAAAGACTAATACAATCATTTCTAATATTCTAATATTTCGAATATGAAATTTGTGGTAGGCATGAGTTCTGGAATCGATAACTTTAAATATTAAAGTTTGTATTATCTGAAGTTTTGAGGTTTGAGTAATTTTAATTCATTTTTTAGATTTGATGGCAGGTCAAGAAGCGCATGTGTACAAATATGCAGATCGATCTCAACTCTTCTACCAGTGTCAGATCAGTATTACCATAAAAGAACCCAACAGTGAATGCGCTCGACCACAATGCTCGGAACCACAAGGATTTGGTGCTGTGAAAACTGGAGCTGCCGGAGCAAAACCTGTTGCAGCTGCTCAGTTACGCCTGCTCAAGAAAAGGTCTACTGAACCAGAAAATATCGTTGACGTACGAACGGATATTAGCGCTCTTGACATTAATGAAGATGTAAGATTTTTCCTTATATTTTTTCTTAGTCAGGAAGTAATACTTCCCAAATTTTATCAACTGATGAAAAATAATTTGTGTTTTGAGCTGCAATAAGTCATTATGATGCATAGGAATATCAACTTTATATGATTATTTTTTATTGCTAATGAACTGCAGAGTCAAGCTCTACCAGTCGATTTACGCCATCGCGCACGCTTGCACCAGGCTGGTCAGCCCGTTATACTCGCATCAGTTCAAGATGGAATCTGCATGTCACCATTTGGCTTTTCTATATTCATGGGCTTAGGTATCGCATTGATTGCAGCTGTCATTGTTGTCTCCTCCAAACTTTACCCACAGCAAAAAGCATAAATTAAAAAGATGATTTTATTCAGCGATTACAATAGCAGTCATATCAGTAAAGTCATTATCATAATTCTGCTCTTCTGATTATAAGTTTCATCATTTCACTATTACTACTTTTTATTATTAGTGAAAGTTTTCATCAGCAAACTTGATGAAATTAAAAAAACAGAAGCTGGAAATTTTTCGCATCAGTTTGATACGCAATGCAAAAAAATTGAAAGTACTTTCAGTATTGGTTGTTTTTAAAGTTATAGAAAGACTAATTTCTTTTCTTAATCACTGAGGTCAAAAGGTAATGACTTGTATTGCTTATTATCGAATTATTATTATTACTTTCAGTTATACTCGCTATCTATTTACATGTCATATTGATAACTTCGCTTATCCAATTCTCATTTGTGATGGTATCACAAATAATCACTGTATTGCTCGACTTTCACGGGCTTCTCTTGCTTTTTTTATGAGTAATGATTTGTTTAAAAATAGTAAATTTATTCTACAAATGTGTGTTCTCACATCTACCGATTGAAATTTCAATTTTTATGAAGTAAAAGAACGAATTCGATATGAAAACTAAAATAAATTGTTGAATCAATTTGTCCATTCTTTAAAAATATTTCTCGAAGTGCCTGAAATTAGCGAAACGTAGCTTCGAGCTATTCCATTAAGATTTGTTGCTTCTAAATGAAAATTTACACTTTACTTTTTGAAGCGCTTGCCACGAATTCTAGCAGTTACCAAGCTCTATTTTCCTTTTCTTAAGATTAGGTAAATCTTTTTGCAGTGGATATGTGATATATTCCTACTTGTTTCATTAGTGAAAAATCTACTTATTAATTAAACGGGAAATTTCACAAGATATTATAATCATATACAGCATGGCGCAGCTATTCGTATCAGAACGTTTAGTTGAGAAAGAAAGAAAGATTTTCAAATTGCCAACTAAATCAGTGGGAAAAAAATAACAAACCATACATTTTGAATGTAGATTCAAGTAGGCATGAAAAATTGCTGTGACATTGTTGCATGAAGCTAATATACAACTATTTATTACAAGAAATGTTACTACCAAACATTCGTCTACCACGCATTGAAATTTTATCGGTACCATATTCAAGGGATTTTATAATTTACTTGAATTTCTTCAAGTACATTGTTTCAAGTGTAATCATATATATATATATATATATATATGACAAATACATTTACTGAAAAACAACACTGCGAAAAATATTTAGCAGCTTCATTTGCGCATTCAGTTGCTATTTAAAATAGCTGCCAAATACTATTATTTAAATATTCTTTCGTCTTAAGACTTTCCACATAGAATTCACCCAAGGAGCAATACTGTAAGCAGCTTCAGGTGACAGAATAATATGAAGATATGGAAGAGGGAGAGAAGCCATCACGGTGGGAGGGGAGCGTAGAAAAGAAGATAAATTTAAATAACTTCTTCAGAACACTCATAGAGCGGTATTCGGCCGGTGAAACACTTGAAGGCGAAAACCTGAGGGAGGCTAAGAAGTGTATGCGAAGCATGAATCTCATACTTGCTCTTAAAAATGGCTATCGTGATGCCGTAAGATGCTGAAGAGCGTGTGAGAGTTTAAGAAAGTAAAATAAAAAGTTGTGAGTTGCGGTGTGCATTCAAAATCGGAAACACCAGATTCGAGCTGTTCAGAAAACGGTCTAATCTGATCTAAGGACAGCTTGTCGGCAACAATGTAATGACAGATGAAATCAGTCGGGGTACGATGTAGAACTCGGAAATAGAAAAAAATGATGAAATTCAGCAAAACAAATACCCGGAAGAATTTGTTCAAGATCATACGTTCCACTCTGAAGCCGAATTCGGAAAGACAGTTTTCTATTTGCTCAGTTGGAAGGCGGCAGGGTATAATGTAGTCTATAACTTCTTTATTAGGAAGTGCACCTTCTTGAATCCAGACCTGTACAAAATAGTAAGGACGGATTTGCCTGCATGTGGAGGAAAAGGATCCGTGGTTTTACAGAGGGACGACGTATCTGATTACAAAAGATGTCCCAAACAAAGGCAGTGACTTCAGGCCAATCACCTGCATGTCAAACAAGTTGACAACGAAATATGTGGTGTGAGTTATGCAATTAGATATTGCCACGAGGAGACGACTTGCACATAACCAATTGGAAACTGTTGGAAAGGTTCAAAGTGCCAAAGAGCAGGTACTGTGAACGGTTCGCAAAGAGCATGGGAACCAGCTTTACACAACGTGGTATGACATCAAAAAAGCGTTGGATTCAGTTAATAACGAATACCTGATTAAATTCATTGAAAGGCTTAATCCTGGATCAGCAGGTTTCTGAAAGCATCACCTCCAGATGGTCCATTACATTGAAAAGCAATGGAGACACTATAATGGAGAAAAAGATAGAACGAGAAATTCTCTAAGGTAGTAGTTTTTCTCCACAGCCATTCTTTTTCGAATAGCAGCGGAGAAAGAATCAATGGCTCAGTAATTACGTGATTTGAAAAAATGCCTTATGAGGCTAAAAAACTTACAAAATTTGCATTGTTACAAGGCTTATTCTATAAAATGTATTTTGATTCTAACAATTTAACCATTCTATCATCCCACTTTTTCCTAACCTGGTAGTGGGAGATGATACAAACTTCTAGAAATTGAAATAAAGGTTGATCAATATTTATTTTGGCGCGAAAACTTGATACTGCTTACTGAGATGAATGACAACAAGCACTTTTATTTCTCGTAAAGGGATAAAAAATATATCTGTCTAAAAATTTCGTAATTTGGTTTCCTTATATCTACTAATGCAATATAAAGCTCTTGACAAATGCTCTGTAACTAATTAAAGGAAGCTACTTAAAATGAAATAATTTTGCTCAGTACTAAAGTAAGGGAACTTTTCTGGTACAGTGAATGAAGATATTCGAGTTCATATTATCTACTTCATGACATCTCTATTCTTGAATGCTAGTGGAGAAATTTTTGAAGCTATAAAAATGCACTGGTAATATGTGTAGATGGGACTAAATCAAATTACTGAAATCACAGCAATTTCGCTCATTTGATAACTAAGCCATAAATGCATTTTTTATGCACTGAAAACTCAGGACAGTCTAAAATATGGAGATAAACCAAGTTTCGTATTTCATTTCCAAAATCAACCCAGCAGTTGCAATAATTATAATCTCACTATTTTCACTGGTGACTGCATCAATTCCGATCGTGCTTATTTATTTACTCAATAAGCAGCCTATTTCAAGAATACCAAGTACACTTTCAATATCTAATATTTCAAATATCTTCTGAATCTGTTGTGACCAGTTCTGTTTATTAAATCTTTTACAGCGCTAAATTTGTCCAGCAAGAAGCAACATGAAAAATGCGTCTATTCAAACTCAAGGCAAAATTTTAAGCATTTAGAACGATCTAAGTCACTATTTATATTTCACAAAACTTTTCAGTGCTTTTTAATGTAAGATGTAATTAATTCAGCTCAAAATGATATCGACCATGTCAATGACTTAGAATCTGTTAAAAAAGCTTCAGATAAGGAATTACTTGTAAGGAATGGAAAACTTGTGGCAAGTAAAATTAATTTCTACTTCAAGTTTGTTTATTAGTGAACAAAAAATTTGTCTTCATCATTTTGTCTGTTCATACATTTTTATCATAATTCTTTTTTTATTTTTTGCACACATTAAAGAGAAATTAATGAAATCTGCGCAAAAAAAATCATTCATCAAGCAGTTCTTTCTGAAATTCTATATAAATGGTTATGAAATAAAACTTACAAGCATAAATAATCGTTACATATTACAGAAGTCCGATGGTGGATACAACATTTTATGAGAGCAGTTCGAATAAAATATGTTGATTTAAAATATATTATTTAACGCTTCTAGATGCATCAAAATTTGAAGCGATGCTATGTTTAATAATCAAAATTATTCTGCAATATATAAACAAGGAGAATAAATGCCTGAAAGCAAAGTTTTCCTCTGAGAAAAAATTTGAGTTAAGATCCAAAGTTTCCACAACCTTTTGTTGTAAATAAAATTCTTGCAGTAACAATTTTCATATTACATTACGCACCATTAAATATTGATGCGGTGAGAGTTTTTAAAAAGTGGGCTTGAGATGCATAATAAGTTCATTCATGAAGTATTACTCGCCGTAGTCGATGACCAGATCTTGATGTGTCTAGCTGCATTGAGTAACTCGATCCTTGCTCAAGACCGAGTGCTTCAAATGGTACTTCAGATTCCGGTTCATCCCTTTGCATGTAGCCAGCATTTTTTGACTGGTTTGCTGGTTGTGAAGAACCTCTTTCATCACCGCTTTCCTCTGTCTCCATTGATTCGGAACGCCTGCTACCGTATATATTTTCTTCAGGCTCCGTTGCATTGCTCGGCGCAACGGCCATTTTTATCACTCGTCGTTTAATAACTTCATTGCTATATTGCTTACCTACAATCTGATGAATGCTAAAAGTAGAAGTAGACTGTAAACAACAGCTTGCCCACTATGAAGTAAACTCGTGAAAAACTGGCAACTCTAGGACAACAAAATGAGGTTCAAAAATAGAGCAGAAATTTTCGTCAACTTCTGAAAGGTGCTCGATTGCTCTTCTAAAATTAACAGCATATCTTGCAACTGCGAAACTTACTCAGCCTTATCCAGAATGATGATGATTATTTGTATAACTAACCACCATAAATTGGTGTGCTATCGTGATTAGCGGCAGAATAAGTAGTATCACTCTTAAATGTTCCGGTTAGTGTTCCACCTACTGGAAGTGATAGCGCCATTGGTGGTGAAGCAGGTTCAGCTACTGCCACTTGATAACCGGTCCCGGTTTCCACTGCCTAAATGGATGCTAGCATGTCTTATCATCATCATAAGAACTGCTTCTATTATCAGACAAATATCATTAGTTCGTCTTACTCTTTGAGCAAAAGCCAATAGCATTACCTCATTCAATGCACAGAAAATAAATTAGAATTCAAATTATATAAATGAGAAAGACAAAAAACCGGATATGATTGCTGAGCAATGAGTGCACCATGACCTGGTGCAACTGCTACAGATTCACCAACAACCTCTGGTGTTGAAAAAACGTGATGTGCTGCAGGCTGTACTGGTATTGCCGCCGGTAGTTGATGGCCTGCTTCTTCCGGAGTTGGTAAGAAATAACGCATCCTTTGCATCACGGGAATCTGAACAAAATTATAACTCGAATTTTTATGAAAAGCAATAATAAACTTAAGAATGAGATAGGGATGAATCATTTATTACTTGGAAAAAGACTTACATTAAGTGTAATAAGCAACATGGACTTTTGATTATTAGTTAAAAAGTGAAAATCTAAATTACGTGTTACAAAGTTCATGTAAAACTAAAATAGCTTACATGATAGTATCCGATGACACTACGTGGCCAGTAAACACTGGTCATGTACCCAGCTGAACAACTTTGTAACACGTGGAAGATTAACATCAACGGGAGCAGCATTGATAGCAACTTTGCCTGACAGCACTTTTATATATGAGTGGCAATCTAACATTGGAAAGGAAATTGAACCCGTTAGCAGAAGCTTCAGACTAAAGTTTTCTCACATTGCCGATTTACAGAAGTTTATCTAAGTAATTTGCAGTTTCCATGCAAGGAAATATTAGTTTTTGAATTAAATGCGAAATTTAGCAAGAAAGTTAACAACTGGAAGAGTAGCTGAAACTATCTATCTCGTCTTTTCAAATATTTTGAAAAGAATTACTTAAAAATTTTGATAGTATTTTCCAAAATTTCGTATTAAGAATGCTGCAATTTAGCAATAATTGATTTATACGATGTTTTTACAGTTCTCCAAGCTTTTAATAATTTCAAACCTATCCTTTTTGTATGCTTAATATAATAAAGACATTTTGAAACTGCAAATAAATCCAATATAAAAAAATCGTCTTTCTTATATACGGGAATAAGTTAAAAATTTGCAAAATGTTAATCATAAGTGAACCTTAAATTACGAATAATTAGGTTGCAAGCTTGTTTGTGAAAGCAACTTTACTATTAAATCTGATCGTTTTATATTTCTACTCCAAAGACGTCAAAATTAGATCACCCATGGAAAATCAGCCAGTGAAATCAGGTTTTAAAATCTAAATAATAACATCAAATAAAGATTTCGCATAATCTGCGAGTTTTCCGTCAACCCACCACATATGAATAATTTGATAAATTGAAAGCTAAAAATTTTTCAGTTGCATAGCAAGAATGATGCTCGAATAATGCTTCTGACATTACCACATGCTTTCAAAATCGCAGAAAATATAGTAAAGTAAATACCGAATTGCATAAATAATGCAATAGAAAAATTTTCGGATTGTAAAGTACTGAATTTCATAAATAATAAAATAGGAAAATTTTTGTGTAGTAACTTCACACTAACGTATTTCTTTTTTCCTTGTTAGCTCCAAACTTTCCTTTTTTTGTTGAATTAACTCAAAATCAGCAACAACTTTGAATTAAGTGACTTGAATAATAGTAAGTTTGCAAATATCAATTCTTATAGATGTATCAGTAACGAATTGTTGGTTTCTTACTTTACTCAAGTAATTAAACAATAAAGCGCAGATAAAAAGGTAACAACAGTTCTATCTCAAAGTTTTCGAAAATGTTTCAAAAATATATCATTATCTTCATTTGACTTCGTTTTGGGATCTTTTTCAATCAGTGGTCTTTCATTTATTCTTATACGTTTTATTGAAAAAAGTTTGGAGTTATTTGCTATGAGGATTATTATTTTTTGAATGCGGTTAAACAGCTGTTCACATATTGTTACTAGCGTTTTACACTTCTTATTGTTTATTGTAGTTATTCTGTCAATTTGTGAGACCTTATATTTTCCATTGGTTCTGAATTTGTAGATGGCATCTTGGAGCTTCTAAATAAACATAAAAAATTCTACGTTCATAGTGATTTCCATATTAAAACTTATTTGTTTTATATAATTCAAGCAATATTAACCTTAAGAATCATTTTTTGAAAAATAACAAAAAGTTTAGGTGCATATTTTGCAATGAAATAAAAATAAAAATACTAACTTCAATATTTCTCAAATTATTCCTAAATAATCACAGCAAACTTAACATTGGATTTTTAGCACTCTGGAGAAAAGTATACTTTGCTATCTCAGTTAATTTTGTCATTACAGATTGAGGAATAAAACATTAACCAATCTCTCTCATCGTGGCAACATTTAATCAAATCGTTTCTGAAAATTACATCACTGAACAAAATCTCATTGACTGATGAAATTGATGCATTTTTTAAAACTTACGAGAATAGAAAATTTTGAAAAATGCTCATATTTTCTAGGGAAAAAAGTGATAAATGATAAAAGGATTCAAATTTGGAAGTGTTGAGATTTGTGATTTAAAATTCTGTGATACAGAACATTGATTGTTGTAACAGGAAGTGGAGTTTCAGCAGTAGAAAAGAAAATATTTTGAGAGGATTTGAGAACAACATCCACATTCAATTAATTATCTTCTTAGTTTATTGTTGTTGAATTTTACATCCTCAGTGGATTGATGTTTGCATAATTTTATTTTGGTTCATTTCCTTTTCTTTGTACTTGCGTTTTTTTAATTTTAATTTTGGAACAAGTCCTTTAGGAAGAAAGACCGGTTGTAAGTCACGTAATAGCGACTCGTAAAGATTGATCTGCTGACGTGGTAGCGAATGGAAGGCGTCAAGAGAAATTTTTTACAAGCTTTTATTTCTTATCTAGTACTTGCTTTTTTCGTTTTCCTCATCTTAGTAATTTCTTTACAAGAAGAAAAAGGAAATAGACGGATTTGTTTTGCATGATATTTTAGAGTGATTACTTTATCACCAAAGAATTAACAACAAATAAGTGCCGCAGACTGATGCTGGTTATTTCTTCTTGCGAAAATCCGAAAAAATATTTTCTTAGTCGTTTTGTTTGCTGGTTTGTTTGCTTGTTTGCTTTATTGGTCACTAATTTTCTCTGTATGTTACTGTTATCAAAAACTCATCTTCAGAATTCCGTTTTAACCAGTTTTGTCAGAAATCGTAGCCTTGTAAGTATTTCATAAAAGAAATCATTCAAAAGTATCTAATTTTTCGTGTTAGCTTGGTTCTTCGCAGCCAGTTATCATCAATGCATAATTCTGACATTCGTTGAAGAAATTACCGAAGAAAATTGAGTTCTCTATCTGATAAATAATAAATTTGAAAATTTGATATGATGATAGTAAATATAGCACTGAAAATAATAGTAGAATCTACTATATAATTTGCTATTAAATAAATTACCAGTTATCACAGTATTCATTGCAATTACTACTACTAAATTAACTTATTACTGACATATTTATTCTATTCCTTCAGTGATATTAAGTTTAAGTTACATATTAAAAATTCTAGAATTGTAAGAAATAAAGGTTAGTCATGTGCTTCATTTCAAATATTATAGCAAGAGCAAACAAAAGAATGTTTCTTCGTGTGAAGCAATTCTTTTGTTTTGCTTTCTAAAGTTTACCAATCTTTTTGAACCTAATGCCTTCCTGGAAAATCTGCGAGTGCACATGGCAGTGATGAAAACTTGTCTAGTTTCCTTCCGTCATTATCATTCACTCAAGCAATTGTGGATTTCTTTTTCAATTAAACTAATCAAAAGGTCACTGTGAGCAATTTTGTGAGAGTTTATCTCAATAACTAAATTGTTAACAAGTATTATATTTTCTTTACAGCGTGCACAAATATTTGTTTCACTTTTCTTAGTCATTATTTCAAAATTATGATTCTTTAATATTGTTTGCAGTGTGTCTTCTTCTCAATATGCCTCCATTTCTTTATGTTATTAATGTTTTAATACCAATATTCTGATAAATAATTTCAAATTTGGTAAAGAACAATTTATAGATCGCATAACAGATATTATATTCACAAATTGCTGAAACTACACTCTTTTTTGCTTTACTTTAAACTTTTCATGCCATTTATTTCAGGTCTCTGTTGTGGCTTTTAATTGCATAAACATCACTAAATTGTTTCATGATGTTTTTATCACTTCTCTGCTGCTTTGAAATTGTTTCAAAGTCATAAGATTACCCCAAATACTTCAAAATTTTTGGTTTCATTATTTAATTAGTGAGCTAGCCAATACTTTGTTTTCTAAATAAATTTGTCTTTTTACTATTCATTCTCAATATAACTTTATTCGGTCCTTGATAATGTGAGCTGTCAATGCAGGTTTTTGCATTATTATCCTTCATTAATAATCTATTTTATTCTTACCATCTATCATATTATTTTCAAATTTTTTCTCAAATTATGCTTTTACTTCTCATCACACTTATGATCAATAAATAAATTGAAAAAAATCAAATTAATAATTCGAATTCATCTAAAGAGTGCAATTTTTCATTTCAAATTTTGTTTTATAAAGTACTGGAAGTTCTTTTCAAAAAATTAATGCATTTTCCATTCAAGTAAATGAACAATTTTTGTGGTACAGTGGGCACTACTTGAATTTTGTATTTATAACAGAAGACTCTGTCACTATTACATTATAGTAATTGTCATTCCTTTTTTAACACATTAGAAAATATTATTCGTTCACAGATATTAATTCTTAAAACTTTTTAGAAAAAATAATTTTTTGACTCATTGCTCATTTTGTTTCATTTTTGGCTTATTCGCACGAGAATGTTATTATTCAGATGGATTTATCACTGTTACGTAAAATCCTGCTTTACTTGATGTATTCTAAATAGTAAAGCTAAAAAATATTAAAATAATTCATTTGTGATCAATTAGAAACTTCAGAAATGTGTATGGATGCAAGCACCTCATTTTCAATAACAGGATTCACCTAATAAAATTATGTAAAGCATTTAAATCATAGAACTGGTTCAAATTCATAAATGTAACAAGAAAACAGATGATGTAAGGTTGATTACAATATAGTTCTAAAAAAAATAACTGCATGAAATTTTGGACGAAACTGTAGTATTCGAATTTCTCAAATACTTTAATCTTTATCCAAAGCAAAGATAGTTCTAAATAAATTGTTCGTTTTTTCTTTACGGAGTGAGGCGAAACTCTTTTTTAAATGAATTAATTGCAGAACACAGCCATCAAATCAATTCAAAAATCTTTAAAAAAGTTTTGGCGTAAATAGTTGTAAATGCGACGTCACAAATAATTTGTATTCTTCATTAATCGTCAATTTCAGCTTCTTCATCCGTAAATGGCTCTCACAGACGAAAATACGTGCACTTAGTACTCTTATTGCATTAAAAAACAAATTTGATGAGCATCTAATACAAATTTTTCAGTTTGCTTGTGATTCCTCTATACTTCCTATACTTTGCGATGCAATAAAAATTTACAATGTTTAATTTTGTGATGCTAAAATATATCCGACTTCCTAGACATACATTGTAAAAAACTTGCTTGATGTCAATTGTAATGAAATACCATTTCTGTAAAAAACAAATGTATGAAATATATAAATACAAGGAGATGAGTATGAGTAAATGAATATTCTCCCTTTAAATTCACATTCATGTGGCAATAGTACTAAACACTCCTTGACTTCGCTCACAACATTTTGTTGTTATTTAAGTCCAATTTTCTATTAAAAAAAAATGGAATTCATGAATAACTTGAAAAATTTTAACTAATGACTTCTTTCTTTGTCATTTACTTATTTACGTACTTCTTACTAATTCCATTTTTAAGAGTACCACTTGTTACCGTAAAGTTGCACCTCTTTCACTTATTGCTAAAGCATCGTAATATGATAACAGCTATATTTTTTTACTTTGTTGGCTAATACAATGATATGTGACAAAAACTTAATCATTAAGATTGAGCATTCGGTTTCAGTATTTGGTATAAAAAATCCATAGTTACGTACACTATAAATCTATAAAAGTAATATTATTATGAATGACTAAAATAGTACTGCAGTTTTGATGATTGTTATAGCAGTATTTGCTAACTGGCTTGTAAAGATTTTTCTATAAAACAATGTTTCATAAAGTGTTGAAATAACTTAATTCTGAAACTGAATTTAGGTAATTTCAAGTGTTAGTTATTGAGTGAAATCAACTTTCAAACCTTTTATAATTAGTATGTACTTGTCTAAATAGTTATTGAAATTATGTGATATAAATTGTACTGCTTTTCTGATATGAGGTCTAATGAAATTGAAAAATGAATACTACCAATGGATCATCAAAACTTTCAGATAGTGACAAAACTATCTATTTTAGCTTGAAAAGGTCGGAAATTTTGTTAAAAAGTTCAATAGACAATGAAGAATTTTGTGTATTTTAAATTCATTGTCATTATGATACACTCGGAAAGCTCGAGAAGATTTAATTTTTGCAAAATCATATTTTCTCTTAATAAGATACCACTGCTGGTATATCACTATTAACTATTCAAGAAACAAAAATTAAAATAATGACTCAAATTAAAATCAAAGATTCAAAATATTTTCACTCAATCTTCTCTTTGTTGTACTACGCCTTTTCAGAAACAACAAAATAATTTTTGAAGGTATGTTTGTGAAGCATATCAAGTTGCAGTTCGCTTTCTTTTTGGTGAAAAATTTGTACTTTTATGTATTTGATTGAAATTGGTCCTCGCATAAAAACCAATTAACTTCGTTTAGTATTCCTGAAGATCGCATTCTAAAATAAATTTTAGTCATTGTGATATTAATTAATATTTTTATTTCATAAATGATGAATCTAACTTGTCATGAACACATGTCAAGTAAACATGACAAAACAAGTATTATAGATGCATCATATTTATTCCTGAACAGCCAATCTGAAGTTATCGTTAATCTTTTTCTTTTTTAATCTAATTCTTTCTGCTGATGAAAAAATATTAATCATATAGAATGCTTTATGCATCACTAACGAACAAATTTGACATAATATTCTGTGTTCAAGTTTTTCTGTAACATTATTTTATAAATTAACATGTGAATCCACAAAACAAATTATGACACTAAGTGCAAATAATTGCCAAATTCTGTATGACTTTTAATCATTACTTCTACATTCCGTTTTCTTTCTTGATTATAGAGATGCTTTTTGTTTCCATTATTGCTGGTAGCTGTTATTTTGTAGATTCAAGTTATCATTGTAATAGAATCATAGTTACAGGCCTTCTTCAAAGCATATTCTAATTTATTGCTATCATTATTCAAGGCATGCTCAAATTGGTATTTTATCTATTATTTGCGTATAACGTCATCGCACATATAGCACTAACTTTTCCTCCAGCACGATTCCCACCTTTAGATTTTTTGGATACGTCTCGAACAATGGCACCCTGTGGAGTTCCAAAACCCGATTCACGTACGTTTCATACAAATTCTTGTTTCCTACTATTAGCACGATCAGTTAAATGCTGTTATTAATGATCATTCGTTATCATTTATGATAACTGCTGTAACATTACTAATTAAAAAGTTAGTAACTGTCACAAGTTAAAAAATTCATTAAAATTTGGTATATATAAAAATAAGTCATTCCTTCTTAGTTTTCTAGTTTGTTTTTGTTTTTTTGAGTCATCTATCTTTTTGAACTCTATCTAATCAAATCCTACAAATTTCAAAAACTGGAAATATTGGAAGTCCCTTGATTCATTCAAAAATCTTTTTTCTGTGCTTCATCTTTAGCAACTCAATTGAGTACTCGTGATATCTTCTCAAAATTTCTACAGCTTCTGATTTCATTTCAAACTGCCTTCCTTACTCGTTCATTCCAATTGCATTTAAGCCTTGCATACCGATCTATATGTCGGTGAATCATACAACTTCACATGGCGACTTCAATATCCACATCAAGTAAACATTGATCAATTATTCTAGATAGCAATTATCCAATTCAGATCTATGTAAAAGTAAAACTTTGTCCTTTACAAATGCAAGTTACTTTTGTATAATTAATAATTCAGTTTTGAAAAGGAGAGAAAGCATAATAAAAATAAAGATTGAAAAAATCATCTGGAGTATACATACTTTCATAACCAAAGATTTCTCTTAATTCAAAAATGTGACTGCCTTCAAAAATTAAATTCTTTAATTTACTTTTCATTGCACACAAATTAAGTTGCAACATCAGCAAACTGAAAAAAAATCATAATTTGGTACAATTTTTTTAAATCATTAAATTCATTACAAGGGAGGGTATCGAATATCAATGATCAATGAAACTGGCGACATTGTTGAATATCTGGCACCTGTGCAAGGTGGCGAATATATTGGCATTGAAGATCAAATGTTTGTCAATTATTTTATAGCTTCCATTTTAAGTCAATAATACGTTACCTAAAGTCGAACAACTAATTAAAGCTGAAAAGACTGCAAAAAATATAACAATTTAATGAAATAATATTGTTAAGAGGGAAAATTTTCTCTTTAAATAATTTTCAGCAATCCTACTATATTTCTTTTCTGATTTTAGTAAATGTAACTTAAATATTTTTTGAAAGCAACTTAAATATGTAAAAATGGAATTTTAATGAGAGTAAATGATGAATAAGCGATAATGTCTTTTGCATTCGGACACTTCCTGTCATCAATTTAAATTAATTTCATCGAACATTTTTCTCGTCATTTAAAACAAAATCTTGGTTGATACTGGCTGATAATTTATAGCAATGAACGCAGTGTAAAATATATTTTATCGTAATATGTTGAGAAATAGTAATCTTACATATGCACTGTAGATCACAGAATGCTGTCATTCGCCCCTTGCATTCTTGCTTTCACTGCACAGTTTTGCTTGAACGTCAAGCTCTCGAATGGGGTAAAACATACGGATTTCGATCTTGTGCTGATGTTAATGTGCATCCTAAAGTACTAGAAAATAATGAACGATGCTCGAAACACGGTGAATATGAAAATGGCAAATGCAAATGCCAGCATTCTTATTCTGGTCAATTATGTCAGTACAAAGGCAAGTAATTTAGTATATTTTCAATGTAATTTTAGGATGATTTTGCTAGCTGCAGGATAAAACTACAATTCAAAGAAACTTGCTTTTCGAAAATTGTTTCTATTATTTATAAAAGAATAATACTTCATTTTTTGATGATTTGTCAGTTCAAAGGCAAGTTTTCAATTTGAAATAAGTTAATTTCAAACTTCAATTCTTTCTTTAGGATAGAAAATTTTGTTTTGCTTCGTTTTTCTGGAACTCTTACCAGTCATTGACTTTAATTATGTAAGATATAACCATTTTTTAAGGTCATAAATTTTTTAATATTGCGTTTACTGAAAACAGCTCAGAAATAAATTTTAAAAAGTGGTAATGAAGATAACGCGATAAAGTTTTTTATATTATTAATTAAACATGAATCATTTTCAATGCATCGAAATACTTCACCAGACTTAACCTCACTGATAAACAGGTTTATAACTAAAAAGCAAGCCGGAATTATCCAGTATTTAAATCTTAAAAAATAAAGTTTTTGCACTGCAACACGAAAATTGCCATGCAAATATTTTTGAAGAATAAATTAGTGATTCAAGCTGTAAAAGTATTTTAATCTTGATTATTTCTTTAGAATGAACTTGTAAAAATGCAACAACAGGAATATTACATAGCATATAATACAATTTGACGAAAGATTAATCAGGACTTAATCAAATTCAATGTTATATGAAAATTTAATAAAATTCTGTTAGTGAAACGGCTAAAATTGACGAATTTCAGGCATAGCTAATTTAATCGGATCATTATTTGTATTTTTAGTCAGATTTATTTGATTCAAGTAAATGGAGTTAAACTTCAGACTATCACTTAAACATTTCGCTCTCACTTTTGATTTCATCAGTTTTTCAGAAGCATTTCATGAATGTATTATTTGATTTTTTCCTCCAAAATAAAGTCATTTATTAATAGTGAAACTTATCATTCATAAAATGACCAATAACAACAGATTAGATGTTGGATCATCAAGATAACTAGTTTGAGTATCATATTCAGAGCAAGCAAATTATTATATATATATGTACAAAGAATGAAAAGTTATGTGGTGAAATGAGGCAAAGCAAGCACTGCTTTTTTCACTCCTCCTGTACGCTATTTTGCTAAATATTTATTCTTTCCCTGTTGCATAGATAACTACGAAAGAGCAGTACAAATTTTCAGATGACTGTTCAAGTGATGATGATTGCCTGAATGGTGGAAAGTGTGTGAGAGAACCACATGCTGTCATAACTCGAACTTGCTATTGTGCGTTTGGTTACTTTGGTCAAAACTGTGATCGAAGTTTGTTCACTTTTTTCAATAATAAATTGTTTCATTACAAACTAAAATTTATCTGCATTTAATAACTTCTAATTTACTCGATTTAATTTAATCTTGTCTGGAACATATCTTCATACTTTTCCTCAGAAGCAGGTTTTGAGAATGTAACTTCACTGGTAACTTCCGATGCATTTTCGATCTGTTTGAAAAAAGCCTCAAATTATCTAATCTATCAACAAGAGCGTATGAATCAAACTTTGCTCCATTTTCTTCAGAACTTTCAATTTCAACACTATGTTGCGTGCACTATCGCATCATATCCTTTAGCTACAATAATTTCAGCATATGATGGCAAATCACAAAATGACAGGTGTTTTAATTACAATTATCCGAAAAATGAAAAAGATCATGATGGATATGGCTTGTTTCAGCGGGAATGCTATAAAAAAACAATGCTAAATGCTGATGATTTCATTTATTCTAGAGTTGTTCGAGTAAGATTTGAATAATGAAGATGAGATGAAATATTTTGGCACCCAAACATTTGTTAAAGATTTTTATAGTATTCATCCAATACTGAACTTTATACAGAGTTGAAAATGGAAAAATTAAACAATAACACTTTACATACAAGTGTTCCTTTGTTTTCGAGTCAGAGCTTTATGAATTTAAGGACGAGTTAGAAGTTATATTGGATTATAAGTCTACATCATGGATTTCGATTGGTTGGCGACCAATGGAAATCGATCGTTCCTGCAGATTATTTCCTGATTTAGAAAGTTCTCGACAGAAACGAAGTACTACAGAACAAGTTGCAAACCTGTTTACGAATAGATCTGAAGGCCACAGTGTGGTTCAGGAGCATGTTCCGGAAATTGACCCAAATATGCCACCAGCGCCGTTACCTAAATTGCCGAAAAATAATGGACTACGTAATTTATTTTCTGTTTATTATTCAGCAGTTATCTCTTATACTTTCAGTTTTCTAAAGTTACTTACGAAATGGGAATTATATCTCAGGAAATTTGAAAACTTTTTACATCGATCTGCATTTAACGTAAAATACAGCTTTTTCAAATAATTATAATCTATTCCATTCTTTATGCAAATTTGTATATTGGCAGAAGATTCGGCACTTTTGGCACCTCTTCATCCGATGGATTGCACTGATGTTGTGATTGGATCAGTACATGACGGACGATTACGGATCAATGATATGTATACCAGAGATCGATCCACACCACTTTATGATATATGGTAGTACAGTGATTGCTGTTTTGCAAGAGCTTCACAAATATTTAGGATTTTTGTTCAAACTTGCAAAGAGATGAAAATATCCTTAAATAATTTATTAATAATGAAACAACTTTCAAACAAAACTGCTGCAGTATTAATAAATAGCGGAATCGAAAATTAATGGTTTCCAAAATAAATTGATACCTTTTTATAACTTAGAATACTTCTCACTTACCAGAAAATCTTAAGAAAAACTAGATTGCTACTTAGGCTTGATGGTGAAGAATCGTTTTCCGCTGCTTATGGAATCGAACGAGATGGCCGGACAACCATAATGTTTCGTAGGCGAATTGCAGGTTATCATCTCTCCCTCACATAACTTTCCTCAAAATTTAATATCAGTTGTTGATTTTAAAGCAAGTAAGAAAAAAATCATTTATTTTGCATATAGATAGAAATGATTATGGTACCGTGCCACAAGATGAATAAAAGACATTAAGTAATTAAATTAGCAGAGCATTTTTTGCATGGAATTCTGTAAATAAATTGAAAAACAATTTGATGCGAGGCATTTACCAAATGACCTTTACTTTAAAGTAATTACCAAATAATTATGATATGTGATAATAATTTTCATCATTTGTCAACTATTTGTGATTTTTAATCTGAGAAAATACATGAAACTGCAAATTAAACACAGTCTGATTAAACTAATCACCAATTTAAAAAAAAATTTAGATCAAAAAAAGCTGAAGGACTGTGAATTTTTTTCTCGTTGTGCTTAATGAATAGTTAAGAAAATTTTAACATAGGAGAAAGTATTTTGTCGGTTTCTATCATTCGAAATAATAATTGAAAATAAATCTGAATTATTTTTCACATGAACTTGTTGCATACATTCTAGCTTATAAATGAATAATGAAGATGAGTTAAGATTGTGATACTCAGTCATTTTTGCTCCGATTCATCATATTCAACAAGATATCATCGTAATTTTTGATTAGTCTAGCTTTGATTATAAATGAAAAGTATAATAGACTTAAGATTAAATGATCCTAAGAAATATAGTGGTGTTTCACTTTGATGACTAATAATAATAAACGAAATTAAACTTCAGTTCATTTGAGTACATTAAATTTTAAGAAATATGAAGGAAAAAAATCAAGTTGGATTTAATTTTTATGCAATAAAGTCATTTAATATAAGTTTTACATCTTCATGATTTTGAGCAGAAATAACTAAGTATTGAAATGCTTAGTCAAAGCGGGAGGAAAAACAACTGCTTAAGTTTTTGGCAATTTTAGAAATTGAACCATCCGACCACCCACTTGGACCGGGAAAAATCTTTGTCATTTATGCTAAAGGCCAAACATCTGGCAATTACTCTCACTCAATTAAAACAGCTCTCGAAAATGGTTCAGTTGGTGATTACGAATTCTACAAAGATGATCAAGTTAAATATCATGGAAGTAAAATTTATCTTTTCAGTCATAATAAGTACTTTGTTCATGCAAACGAATATACTTTATAATTTTCGATTCTCAAATTCTAGGAAAAAAAAAATTAACTGACACATTTTTGAAGGCCAAAACCGCGGTGTTCATCCAATAGAGTTCGTTTCTAATAAGGAACGATTTCCGAGTATTCGACCTTTGCCACGATATCGACAAGGAGATTCAGCTGTTAAAAATCTCTCATCAACTGAAATGCATCACAGCACTATGAAGCAAACAGCAGTCACACAAACTTTAGAATCGGTTCCATTATTCGCTACGACTGAAAGCAAAATATCAATATCATCATCTTCTGAATTGCATACTGTAACAGAACTTCATTCCGTAATTGGAACACAACTCATACTTGGCAACAAAATCTCGACATTTTCTGACTTTCAGCTGGAATCCGACCTTAAGCCAAAACCTGAAATACAGTCTGAACCTAAACTAGAATCAAAACCTAAATTTCAAGAACTTGATTATTTATATTTTGATAATGGGTCTTTATCACAAAAGTTTTTTTTTTCTCGGTCACAATTGGCTGTTGTTTTGCCTTTAACATTGTTTACATTTTTATCTGTTAATTTGTAATAATTGCTTGGTCTTTTTATCCCTATTATTAATAAGAGAGAAATCATTTTTGTCATCGTTTTTGTTTGAAAAAACCAAATGTTATTAACTTCAGTGATCAATCTGACTGGTAACCTCACTTAAAAAATTTTAATAGTTAATCTTATTAATTCTTCGCACACTTTGGTCTGCAATAAAAAAGTTGTAGAGCAAAATTACATGAAGCAAAGCTTCATTATAAGCAGAATGTTACATTTAATAAGTACGAATACTTGGCTAAAAAACAAAAATTTACTTGATTTGAAAAGGTAGTTTAGCATTGTGAAAAAACAGTTGTCATAAAACATTTTAAATTTGTAAAGTTATGTTTATGAACCATTCAAAGCTAGCACGAATGCTATGATTCATTTACTAGAATTTTCTTTAAGTCTGTGTCCATGAGAAGTTTGCGTCAGTGAGAATGCACAATAGTCACGTTGAAGCCTCAGAAAGTTTTAGTTCTCAATGCATTTTGTATATCACCAAAAATATTGAAAATAATATTGTGTTGCAGTATGAATCTGCTATTTATAACGGATAATCATCATGTATAGTATGTTTATACAAAATTTAGAGGACTAGTTAAGAGATGAGATAAATAAGGCAGACCTGCTAATATTTATAATTTTTTAATTATATTAAGAAAGGAAAGTAATAAAGCAAAAATTGTGACCTGTCTTTGACTTTTTTTCATACATCCATAATACTTCTTGAGTAATGTTTCTGTAATCAACATGCAATGTTGTATACTAAACGATTGTTTCAGTTTTATAAATATGTAGCAAAAATAAAATGATTCTAATTTGTTGAGAAGTGCTACTACTTTATCTATTTTATTAAAATTCATTACTATCGTACTAATTTTTTTTTTGTGAAGTAGCTTGCTATTTAAAAGCAAATTTTTTAATTTCAAAGTAAGCTTTGCCAAAACAATGAAATTATGAAATGAATTATATTGTTTTAATTACTGCAAACAATTGCAAGCAAGAAGTTGCACCAGATAAATTGAATAAGACTGGTAGAAATTGAAAATGCAGAAAAATTTTTGTTAGTTGAAGATATGGATTATTGCAGATGATAACTGACTCGTTATCAGGCCAATTATTCATCATCTGTAATTATTCCACTTTCATTTACTAATTTTTTTCCTTTTTTAAGGAAACTAAGCAAGATTTCTGTGACATATTTTCACCACATGGCACGAAAATGATATCTTACAAAATTTCAATAATAGAACTTAATTCGTCCAAATAAAAGTTTTTTGTACAAGAAAGATGACTGCACAGCATACACTCAAGAAATGAGAGAGGGAAATGTTCTGAAAATAAGGAGGCCAAAGAAGAGTTGTAAATAGTTCTCGTATTTTAATCGACTTTGCGAAAATTTTCCTTTGTAAAATTTGCCATTCTTTTTGTATCACAAATAAATTCAGAAAAATTGAGTTTATCTGGGTTAATTTTATAACTTCGTCCAATATTTGTTAGCATTTCGAGAGAGCGCCTTTGCCATTTAAAGTCGTAAATAGCCTAGTTGCTGCATCGATTTTAAAACTACTCATGAAAGTATTTATGTCTACTTGTCTTCTAGTTGCCTTTAGTACTTTAAAGTTTAGTTTAGCATCTTACGCCAACAGTTTTTCATATTAAATAATGAATTAACTCCACTAGGAAATTAATTTATTTTTTTAGCAAGTTAAAAGCGTAATTAGTTTTCAAAATGCTAGTTAGTCATTAGCATTTTAGCGTTTACATGCGTAATCTTAATATTGGTAAAGATTTCCGATTCTTCCAAAATAGAAAATGAGAATTCATAAGCCGTTTAATCATAAAATTCATAAGTATTCTTGTCAGGTCACATTTAAGTAGTATTGAAAATCTTCATCACAATATTAATGAAAAATTTCATATGCAGAAGTGAAATGAACATTTTTCTCGGAGCATTCATAACCACTTATGACCATTTGTGGTGAACACTAAGTTTAGTAACATTTGTGCAGAAAAAAATTATGAAATGTATTATAAAACTATAAATATTTATCATAATCCATTTTCTTCAATAATTAGTCAAGTAGGTTTATTTTATGCAAATCCGAAAAACAGTCACTGTCTAATCCGTTAACACTTTGTTACTTGAACTTGAGTACAAGCAAACAAAACAGTATTTATTGATTTTGAAAATAATTAAGTTGGTTTCCAATTGCTGAAATTTCCAAAAGCATCTTTTAGATATGTAAGTTTTACATCAGTTTCAGAAGCAGTCTTTTTTTCTCGCTTTTCCAAACTGTAGACCAATCAATTGGTCACTTTAGTCTTAAGCTATTTTAAATTAGTGGAAACGCTAACTAGTTACATAAACTTTTGTCAAGCACCTCACTACTAATTTTTTTAAAATAAATGTTCCTTCATATCACACAAAATTAAATTCTACTATTGATCAGTTTAATTACTCAAAGCCATACTGAAATGCATGTCGATTTCATTTTATTATCAAGTTCGCATTTTAATTAGTACTCCTTCTGTTAGTTAAATGGGCTAATAACTAAATTTTATCCGCAATATTCATTTATCAAATAAAGGATCTTAGCTATTTGGTAATATAAAATTTGTCGTTCTTTGAGAAGTTGTTTTTCAGAGTCGTCTGTGAAGCAAAAAATTGTTTGTAACCAAGTAATGAATATGAGAGCCTAGTATTTATAAAACAAGATGCTCTTTTGAAGTATTATCTCTCAAAGGGTGATTTGATGCAAAATGGAATTCTAGTTTAGCAATATTACTCTGAATTATATATCTATGATCGACTCGTTTATCTATAAAATATGTTTCAAAAGTATTTGCTATGGAGAAAAATAGACTTTAGTTAAACAATGAGCTTAAATATTAAGTGCACAATTTAACTAAGTTGAACAAGACTGAATATAATTAGAAGGAAAGAATGGCTGCTAAATTTACCTTTTCTCTAGATATAAATTGACAGTGGTGTTTTCTCAGCTCGCAATCGATATTACATTAATTACACAAAAATTTTTATCTTATTAATTCGATCAGTCACACTTTTAAGTGTTTACCAATTATTTCTTATTAAGTGCGCAGTATTGATACAAATTTAAATTTCATGTACTTGCTACATCAATTATTGCAATTTAGTAATAAGCTGTGGAAAAAATTTAGGTTACTAAGAAACGTTGGGTTGCTAACGCTATCAGCTACCGCCTATAACAATATTTAGAAGTATTTAAAACAATTTTTATCCCACAGTTTTTCTTGTTCTTACATCATTTATATTCATTATCATTATTTACTACCACTACTCATTATATTTATTATAATAATTATTATTACTGTTTATAAAGTAAAATCAACAATCAACAATTGTGTAGAAATGTCATCCTTGTTTTTAAAGAATCATTTAAAAGGTGAGTAAATGGTAAGTTTTAGTTGCTTTCTAAGTTATAATTGATTTTTTAACAAATTAAGTTACTTATTTACTTGCTACCTTTCTTAATTAATTAATCACTTAGTTACTTCTGGTTTTTAGTTGACTGCTGATTTCCTTATACCAATAGATATGTCTCTTTCTTGGGGCTTTAATTATATGCTTTATATAGTTCGTATTCTGCATCATTTTCAATTTAAAGTGCTCATTTGATAAAGTCTAATTTTTATTCCCATTTACAAGTTTTACTCAATATCACTCTAAAGTAATCAGCTTGGCAAAGATTCACGTTTTTCCCCTAACATTGAAATAAAACTAATTTGTTAAAGTCGATCTGGATGAGGAATGCAAGGGAAAAGATAAAAGTTGAGCTAAATCTATAACCCTCGTAAACTTTTGCTCACCTTGGATCTAAACTGATCAGTGCAGCAAGAAATTCATGTTCTTTTTTTCCTCTCTGATTGTTGAACAATTCATGGGTAAAGAAGAAGTTGGAAATTGCAAAAATGCATTAAAACACGTTAACAGTTATAATGATAAAAGTACGAAAAATTTTCCTCCATCCATTACCATTTGAAAACAAATTTTGCAGGAAAAAGGTTTGCTAGTTTTAAATATCTTCCTTGACCTTTCTCAGTTGCACTTGGTTTAGAACTGCTCAATTTTGGCAAAACACAACCAAGCATTTACAATGAGTAAGGCCACGTTAAGAACTATAGACGCAATTAGAGAGCAATTCACTTACAGCTCATTTAACGCTCATAATTTTCAAATTCTGCCCCTCAAATTTTTTCGTTCATTTCATTCAGTTAAATGCTTTATATTCGCGTTCTCCTATCAAATCAAGCAGTGAGTTTTCTTCTTTACCTCAAAAAAAAAAATGATTTGTCAGAGCAATGTGACGTATAAACTGCACATTTTCATCAATTTTGTGTACTCGAACATCACTGATTGGGTTGTTTGCTGCTTGTGAACAGTCATAGCTAGAGTGATCTTATATACATTTGAAGTGACATTTCACAACTTTTTCTTTTGCATAATTTAGAATGATATTTCATAATGTACTTGTTAAATAGTTAAGTTGCTTTACTCAACTGCGGAAGGTAAACACATTATGAAATATCATCGGTGGAAGAAAGAGTCGGTGGAACGAACGCTGCGATAAATGAAATTTTATTTCTTCTATTGATCTTTGGTGAGAAAATTTTTATGCTCGCTTTTCAAGAGAGGTTGGATTGCTCATCGTGCACTTTGTATTCCATCACCGCTGACTGCAAGATAGTGCTAAAGAATTAAGTCGATTTTTCAGTCGATGCTTTATTTTCAAATAATTAAAAAAATTTATGACTATGTGTGCTTGATTATGAGTACAATGTCAGGTTCTTGTAAAATCTAAGTTTTGCAAATTTTGAGCAATATAATGAATACTGTAATATTTCACTGTGTTTGCAGAGGAGTCATCTAAATAGTTGCGTCGACTTATTCGAAAAGAAGGACTGAAACTAGAGTTAAGAAATATTGAAGAGGCGGGAGTTTTTTGCGCTCTAAATAGAGTGTCTTATATGTTTGTGCAAGCAATCGCAAATGACTTTTTTTTAAAGTAACTAAACAGCTTTATTATCATGCACGAATGTCTGCGGCAATGAAATTCTGCATTAACAGTTTATATTTGTGCACTCAAGAATAGATAAAGCTTAGCAAATACGTGTTTTCTTCTGGTTGTTTCGAATTTGTTGGTCATTTTTGAAGCATTATCTAGTTTATGTAATTAATGAATTTTGTTTGGCTTGATGGCCATTTCCGGAAAACAAACAAATTATATTAATAAATCAATAAGTCATTTTGCCTAGAGTCATTTAAGAAAAACATAGATTGAACTTTTGAGATTAAAAAAAACACAAAACTACTCCTCAAATTATTTTGTCCACTTTTAAATCTTATCATGAAGTAATCAACCACTTCTTATTGTGCGTTGTTTTTCATTATTTTGACCTATCGTTAGAAGTTTATTCCAAGACTTTTTAAAAACTATTGCAAAGTTTTTTACTTGTAAAGAACTTGGTTTCAAATTGTAATTGTTATAGGAATATTATTTTCGCCTTCAGATCTCTTTAAAAGTATTTATAAATTTGAATTAATGCTTTAGCATTTGATGTCACATTACACTCGATGTATTTGTCAAATATGCACATGCGGGTAAGATTTACTTTTCATAGCAAAGCTTGACATTTGTATATTTTTTGTGCTTCCTCTCAATAATTGCTAAATATTTAAAGTTCAAAGAACAAAAGTGGAACTTTGAGTCATAATACTTTTGGAAAAAAATGCATTTGTATGTACTGTATTTTTTTAAATTATTATTCTTGAAATGAAACAATATTTACTTTTCATCTCATATTGTTCCATTATGTGATAATTATGTTTTAGAAGGCATCACTGTCCAAATGACCGAAATGCAAGTTCAATTTCAATTGGAACTACAAATGAAAATAATTTTCACAAAAAAGTGAAATTACTATTTTTAATATTTTGACCTTGTAACCTTCAATGCTGAGCCAAAAACTTGTACAAAAGTTATGTGTGAGATAGATCTTTCTATGAATCTGGTTATCATTAATTGCATGGAAAAGACTAGCTGACTAACAGTCCTAATTCACTTCCTGACATTTTCTTAATTTCATATTTAAATCTTAAAACTCATGTTTGAGTAAAATCCAATACTTTCTCGTTTACGGTTAAATAATTCAGGAATGTGCTGCGGTAACAAAAGATGATAGTCTTCTGACAGCGAAGCAAAAACTTCAAGGATCTTCTCTTTTAAGAGATCACATCGGGATTAGGAACAAGAATATCAATAATGTTTGTTTGTCCTGATTTAACAATATTAATGCTGTTTGCTTTTTGTCATTTTTGAAAATCTCATTCACATTTTATAAATGTTCTCTGAAAATGAGTTTCTTCAGTGTAAAATCCTAGTATTTCACGAATTCCATAGCTGTAATATTACTTCATTGTGTCAACAACTAAAATTGATCAATAATAAAGCACCAGTAATGTTGTACACGGAAGAAAAATTCTAAAATTTTTTGGTAAAAATCAGCAACTCCGGAAAACAACACAATAGAATTAATAAAACTGCCAATGTTGAGCAGTTTCAGGTCGAATTAAATGAGCAATATAAGGATGCACGTTTAACTTCAGGTGCTTTAAGGCGTCGTAATCATGAATCTTCGGTTAGCTTTGTTATACTGTTGAGATCTATGGAATATTGATGTTCATATATAAGTCATTCTTTTATTTTGGCTCAAAATTAAAGGATACTTTACCCACCAAATGCAATAGCTACATAACGGAAATTTTTTGAACAGTAAATAGATACACGCCGTGATGTTACTGTTTATTTCCCAGTTTTAATAGACTTTGATAAAGTAACCAACTTTTTTAATCATTTATCTTAGCCTGCTTTTCAAATCGTTCGTGATCTATTTATTCAATTACATACAGTTTTTATGTCAGCAAAAATTTTTTTGAAGCAATCAAATTTTCAGATTGTTTTCGGTACTGACTATGATAATAATCGAATGCTACGAAAAAAAGAAACAGAAAATGTTGTTTCGTGTAAGTTATACTTACTGACCATAAAAAATAACAAACTGGTTGAAAGTCCATCAGAAATTTTTGTTCATGCATCGACAGCTGCCATGCATGATAGTTCTGGTTTGAAAGCAAGTTAAAATAAATATGATTTGGGGATAGAATTTTATTTCACAATTTGCTAGCTGTTGTAGTTCAGCGGCAATCCAAGGAGTATGAAGATAGTTATAATGGTGATCCAAAAATGCTCTTAAAGATTCGAGAAGGAAGAAATCATTCTGCTGAAACTCGTGACAACATTGGCTTAATTCTGCAACCCGTAAAATTATTTTTATAAGACCAGAAAACTGCAAAATAATTTGCATGCTATTTGTGATCCATTTTCCCGTAGAATTTAGCAGTTTCTTGCTTGGCAGGACTCTATGCTTATACACATTTTCACGTTTTGTTTGACCCATGCAAATTAATTTATAAAGTAATATAAGTTATCACAATTTATTCTTTACAACTGATGCGACTCACACGTCATATTGTATCTTATTTAAAACAAGAAGTGATCAGAACAATTCAGTACTTTCTCTGTTGCAGAAAAATCAAAAAACCATCTCGAGAAGTGCGCACAGTGACCACTACAAATTTAAAAGAGATGTAAAACCGTCAGACACTAACATTTTTGAAGTTAGCTCTCAATTTCATTACTTCTTTATCATTGTTTATATTGCACAAAACTTTATAATATTTTCAAGTTACACCGAAGTTGTGGAATAGGAATTTTAACAAACAGAAGCTTTTTCAAGGACGACTGCCTAACAATAAAATTCTGCCTTAACGAAAATTATTCATGCTTCTCATGCATAAATAATTTTCATGCAATTGTGAATTTATGAAGTTCAGAAGGAAGGAAGACTGTTAGGGCAAAGCGCAGCACATCATGATTATGGGCAAAAAGAAAGAGAACGACACCATATGCATAGAAAAGCAGATATTACCGACAGTGACAAAGAAACTCAAACCAAAGCTGAATTCACGCCAAAACATGGAGAGCGTTATGAAACGGTTCGACCTCGAACTTCTGATTTCTGGAAGGTTTTCAGTTTCAAAAACTTGCCATGAAATCATGACATGATCAAAACAACTAATAAGTTTCGCATCAGAATTAAGCCATATTTCGTTTCTAGAGCAAAAACTTCAAAAATTAACAAAGATTTTCAATTTTTTAGAAAGAAGGAAAAATTGAAAAAAATTCAGTAGCACATATGGACTACTTGGCTTGGAAAGGTGAACGATATCCTGTAATTAAACCAAAAGATTCAAATATTCTAACTACTTTTGATGGTGGAAACTCTTTTGAAACACAAAAAATGGTGGACTTTAAGGCTTGGAAAGGGGGACGATCAAAAATGGCTCGACCTGAACCATCTGATATTTGGAAAGTACAATTTTGATAAAATATCTGTATTGCGATCAAATACCTACATCTGTGTTAAAATATGCTTTTCAGCGAGAAGGTAAAATGGAGAGCAAAACTGTCACACAAAAAGATTTCATGGAAGTGAAAAGCGAACAATATCCAATTCGCAAGCCACAAGATTCCCGCATACTTTCCGATAATGCTAAATATGTAGCAAAAACATCAATCATTGTACATGATATGGCGAAGATCAATCAGCGCTGTGATGTAACAAGAACCAACGATTCAGAATTGTGGAACGTAAGTGGTTTCCAGAACAGCCATCATCATCATTACTACAGCATTTTATATTACAAGTACGGAGAATCACATACAGGTCTCCGAATTTTGATTGCTAAATCATAAGATTTATTGAAACGAAAAAGTTATATAGCTTCACGTGCAACGATGAAAACCCATCAGTCTCACGGCTTAGGCTTTGCTGTACATTTCGATCAATAGCACTTGATTTTAAAGCACTGATCTTCAGACACGTGATTTCAGCGCTCTTGTAAATTAGAAGGACAAAGTGTTACTCAAAAAGATTATATTGCCGCCGAAAACAAAGGACGTAATGCAGAAAACAAAGATCAACATTTCCATTACAAAAATAGTAAAAGTTTTAAAGAAACGATGAAGAATCCTGAACTCCAAGAAGAAAAAAAACAAAACCAAAAATTGAAACCACCGATTTACGCAAATGAGGTGAGCCATCCATGTACATAATAATAGCAATGATAGTAAAGAGATTTCTTCATGTACAACAATGCATTCAACATCTCCTAAACATTCAAATGAAGGTATCGTTATGGAACGAAAACGTACAAAGAAAGGCAAAGCTTGTATAATGAGCAGCAAGAGATATAACAAAAACAAAGCAGTTTACTTGATCGATTTAATGTAGAACAGATTAACACATAAAGATAATAATCTAAGTAATTCTCAACAATTCAGCAAAAAGATCGACAGCAAAAGGAAGATGAACGCAAGAAAGCTTCGTATAAAGATTACAATGGTAGTAGAGAGAAATGCTGGATGATATCAAATGAACAGGATTCAGACATACCACATGAAAATAACTCCCTCACGTCAGAAACCCTTATTGGCAAAGAATACACAAAAAAGAAAGGCAACAGATTTGAAGCGATACGACCTGGAGATTCTGATATATGGAAGGTATTGTATGCATGCATTTTTAGAAAAAATTTCCAGATA